TAAAAGGGGCGGGTTTTTTAAAAAAAAAAAAAAAAAAAAAAGAAAGAAAGAAAGAAAGTACCTGAGGGCCATGTGCAGTGGTTAAGGCAACTAGATCCCACGTGACTGACTCAAGTTAGAATCCTGGACCAGGCCACTTGAGAAACTCTGGGTGTGTGTGCATGCCCAAAATTCCAAAAAGAGAAATGGAGAAGGAATTGCGATGTGACCATTCCCTTATGGGGTGCATTTCTCACTTTCTCTTTCTATCAAGCCCATGTGCTCTCTAACAACAACAAAAACTTTTAATCTGAAAACAATTTTGAAAAACAGACATGCTTTCCTCATAAAGTACATCGCCGTCTGATTTTCTCATCTTGAATATGTGGGAAACATTGGAGAGATTTTGTATCATCTGTGCCATTGTGCAACATGACTTTCTCAGGAGAAATTACACTTTGAATGACAATACCTCCTCAAATAATTCCAAATGGGTGTGTGGGGCCAGCAGGTGGCATACTGGTTAAAGGACTGAACTCCCACATGCTGGACAGCAGTTTGAGTTCAGGACCTGGCAGCTTGCTTTCTCATTTTCCCTCTCTCTCTCTGTCTCTCTCTAACACACATGCCCTTTAGCAAAATTTAAACAATAATAATAAATTAAATTAATAATTTTTTAAAATGGGTGTGAGGTCCTGTTTTATTAGCTTAGTGCTGTGTTAAATATATGTGAATTACTTCTAAGGAGCATTAAAAATTTTTAAGATTTTAGGTAGGAAGCATGATATAAATATATCTATTTTAAAGAATGGAAACTTCACAGACTTTCTGGTAGTAAAGGGCAAATAAATTTGTTACTTGGCATTAATAATTAATATAGGTGTTTTATCTCTGTCACCTTCTTAGTACTGGAGCCAAATACCATTTAGTTCATAGAAAGCTTATCCATGTGGTTTTATTTACTTGCTTTATTGTATGTCAAGGATAACCGCATGAGTCAGGTGAATGCACTGAAAGTGAAGATATTCCTCCTAGCTTT